TCATGGTTTAACCCCAGCCAGCAATTACATACCATGCAGCTGCTTCCTCACGTCCCCCTCAGTGCGATGGGGAGAGACTCAGAATGGCAAAAGTGAGAAAACTCATGGGTTGAGATGAAAACACTTTAACAGGGAAAGGAAAGGCTGTGCATGCAAGCAAAGAAAAACAAGGAATTAATTCACCATTCCCCATAAGGAGGCAGGTGCTCAGCCATCTCCAGGAAAGCTGGGCTGCATCACACATGACGGTGACTTGGGAAGACAGCTGCCTTCACTCTGAGCGTACGCTCTTCCCTTCTTCCCTCAGCTTTAATTGCTGAGCATGATGCTGTATGGTATGAGATATTGCTTTGATCAGTTGGGGCCAGCTCTCCCAGCTGTGCCCCCTCCTACTTGTGCACCCCCAGCCTGCTGGCTGGTGGGGTGGGGTGAAAACGAGAAAAGGCATTGGCTCTATGTAAGTGCTGCTCAGCAATAATGAAAACATCCCTGAATTATTAACACTGCTGCTACCTTCCTGTGTAAGCATGCAACTTCATACTCAAGTTCATTTTGCTTCCAGCTCTGGGTTTGAGGAGATAGGGATTTGTTTTCTTCCTTGTTTGATGAAAGCCCATTCTACAGTGTGCTGAAACACTGTTCAGTACAACAGGCTCATAGTCTCAGCTGAAATCTTTATGGCCTTGTCACCATACAATTAAATATTTATCTTAGCCTGTCTTTTTCTCACATGATTTCAGGTGCCCCAAAACAGTGGAAAACTTCTGTGTGCACAGCAGAAATGGGTATTACAATGGACACATATTCCACCGTATCATCAAGGTAACTTGTAAAAAGTTAATTTTTTGTTGGTTTATATAATGTACCTTTGTGGTCAGTCTTCTGTTATCCCCTTCATTTCCCTTTTGCACAAAGGATTTCTAGAACGGCTTCAGAGTTCCCTGTAAAGTCTGAACAACTCTGAGTTTCTAAACACCTTTATCACTTAGTGAAGGTGTTCTGCAACTAACAAGGTGGAAGAAATCTGAAAATTGAAAGATCAGTTCAGCAATCCTGCTTGAATTAAGACTTTGTTTCATGTCAGAAGGCTTCTTATTTCTGTTGCACTAGAATCAAGTTGATACAGCCTGTGTCTGCAGAAGGTACAGATAGTCAGGTTTGTCATTCATTAGAAGGAATAGTGAGCGAGCTTGTTTTTTCACAAGTACTCGATTACCACTTAAGGGACAAAGCATTCAAGGCTTCTTTATCCACAGCATTTTAATACTTACACTTTGTTGAAAGGTTTGAAGTTTGAAAAAAAAGTCACCTGGCATATACCACTATTGCTTATTTATTCTATGTGATGATGTAATAACATTTAATTTCTGTGCAGGGTTTCATGATTCAGACTGGTGACCCAACTGGTACAGGAATGGGAGGCGAAAGTATTTGGGGAGGAGAATTTGAAGATGAATTCCATTCAACTTTACGACATGACAGACCATACACACTCAGCATGGCTAATGCAGGACCAAATACCAATGGATCCCAGTTTTTTATAACAGTAGTGCCAACTGTAAGTAATATTAAAAGCTCAATTTAAGGCACGAGATGCTAACTGGATAGCTGTGATGGGCTGACCTTGGCTGGATGCCAGGTGCCCATCAAAGCCACTCCATCACTCTCCTCCTCAGCTGGACAGGGGAGAGAAAATATAACAAAAGGCTGGTGGGTCAAGATAAAGGACAGGGGAAGATCACTCACCAGTTAATGTCATGGGCAAAACAGATTTGAGTTGGGGAAAGTAACTTAATTTATTGACAATCAAATCAGAGTAGGATAATGAAAAATAAAACAGAACTCAGAACATCTTCCCCACCATCCCTCCCTTCTTCCCAGGCTGAATTTTACTCCCGATTTCTCTACCTCCTCCCCCCCTGAGTGGTGCAGGTGGACAGGGTAAGCAGATTGCAGTCAGCTCATCACCCGTTGTCTCTGCCGCTCCTTCCTCCTCAGAGGGAGGACTCCTCACACTCTTCCCCTGATCCAGCGTGGGGTCTCATCCACAGGAGACAGTTCTCCACAAACTGCTACAGGGTGCAGTCCTTCAGGAACAGGCTGCTCCAGTGTGGGTCCCCCACAGGGTCACAAGTCCTGCCAGCAAACCTGCTCCAGCGTGGGCTCCTCTCTCCATGGGGCCACAGGCCCTGCCAGGATCCTGCTCCAGCGTGGGCTCCCCACGGGGTCACAGCCTCCTCTGGGCATCCACCTGCTCTGGTGTGGGGTCCTCCCCGTGCTGCAGGTGGGGATCTGCTCCACCATGGACCTCCCTGGGCTGCAGGGGCACAGCCTGCCTCACCGTGGTCTTCCCCAGGGGCTGCAGGGGAATCTCTGCTCTGGTGCCTGGAGCACCTCCTCCCCCTCCTTCTCTGCTGATTGGTGTCTGTAGAGTTGTTTCTGTCCTGTATTCTCACTTTTCTCTCCCAGCTGCTGTTGTGCAGTGTTTTTTTCCCCTTCCTAAATACATTATCCCAGAGGTGCTACCACCATCCCTGATGGGCTCGCCCTTGGCCAGCGGCGGGTCTGTCCTGGAGCTGGCTGGAACTGGCTCTGTTGGACATGGGGGCAGCTTCCCACAGAAGCCACCCCTGTAGACCCCCTGCTACCAAAAACTTGCTATGCAAACCCAATACAAGGGTAAACATTTATTTTTTTCTGATAGAAAAAGGAACACACTGGTACTACCTAAATATATATTTTTTTAGTTTGCAAATAAATGTTATACACAACAGTGTGTACTGTGTAGGCCTCACTGAAACCATCCTTTATGAAATAGAAAAGTACTTTTGCCAGTTGTGATCGAGGTGCCTTTTGGTGCTAACCAAAGTAAGGGCAATACCAAATTCTTAGTAAGTCAGACATATTTGCAATTGTATATTACTAGAGTATTTGATATTAATATACTGGTTTAAACGTGATGGAAATCTAGCTATTGCTTATGTTGTTTGATGTTTTTGGATATGGTGCCAGGATGACTCCTTAATACTGCCTAATTATAGCCATACAAAGAAGACAATATTGAAGTTTGAATATTTCATTTGATCTGTGTAGAATTTCAGAGGCAAAAAGAGCATTTTTGGTACGTTAATCTAACAAATACAAATCAAATCCTTAAAGGTGACACTTGTAGAAACTGCATTCTTACAGCACTTCTTTGAAAGTCATGTATCTTTTTTAAAAAACACCCATCTACTACAATTTTGAGACTTAGTAAGTTATATCAGTGCCTATATTCACATTTCTACTTATGTGAATATGACTCTGAATGAGTCTGAATGAGACTGTATGAATATGACTCTGAATGAAGTAATATTCTGGACTGGTGCTTAAAATTCAGCTGTGAAAATACCATGAAATAGACTGAAGCAGAATTTCTGTGAACTGAGAATATACTTTAAAATAAACCGTGAAATTCCACTGCATTGCTAGAACTTGGCCTCTGTAGTACTTTAAGAAAACAATTGAACAGGTGAGTTTAAGTGCATATGAATATGTATAAGCTGCACTCTCATTTATTTACATGCTAATATTTACATGGTGTTAAGTTCCATGGTCTGAACATATAAAATGCATCCGTGTACACTTATTCTAGGTCAGTCTCTTTCTGGTTTGGTACCTAACCTACATGCTGCCTTCTGTTTTAATATGCTTTTTCTTTTTCCTCCTTTGCCCTCAAATAGCCATGGCTAGACAACAAGCACAGCGTGTTTGGACGAGTGACTAAAGGAATGGAAGTTGTTCAGAGAATCTCAAATGTGAAAGTCAATCCCAAAACTGACAAACCCTATGAGGATATCAGCATCATTAATATCACCGTGAAGTAAGCTCAGAGTTGAAGGTTCCAGCTTAAGCAGAGAAAACTCAACACAGTAGGACCCAAAAAGGGACCTAGAAAGAACAGAAACATTTTTGATAATTCTTAGATATGAGAAGTGCCAGGACAGAGCAATCACCAGTTCTCCTATTTTTAACGTACCTGAAGTGCCCTGAGTCTGTATTTCTGGTAACTTTGTATTTTTAAATAAAAAAAATCTGTGTGTTTCTTACAAAGTGTACTGTTTCTCTTGCATCTCTTCTATGCAGAGCTGAAGATAAAAACCCACACCCTGTCTCAGTGTTTATAAAATAGGATCAGGCTAGTTTGTAACTTCATGTTTATTTTCATCTTTCATATCTAATTAATCCTTTTAACAGTACTGAAATCTTTGACAGAGGAAAAGGTCAGAAAGCCTAAGCTATGAGTAAACTCTTCAGTCATATGTACATGCATCAGAAATTAGATTAAGTTATGATACTGTTTGCTATAACAAGGTATGTAATCTAGCTCTGTCCTTTAAAAATGGTTGTGTTACTAAAAGCCATGATCCGCACTTGGAATGTCAGTGTATGAAATCCCATGCAACTTCTTTAGCATTGCTAATAATGTGTTTTTCTTTCAGCGTTTACTTCCTCATTATTTTAGCCTAGGGAGTGTGTTTCTGGTCTAATTTTTACCTAAAGTCCTATGAAGGTCACTAGTTCTACTGAAATACTTAGTTTAAAATAAATTATGGCAGTCATCTCAACTAAGCTTATGTCGTGTTTATGATGCAGTCCTCAGTGAAAGGCCAGTTTCTCAAGCTGCTGTGAATCTGTGGCTAGATACAGTCCTGTTACTATATTGGATAGTTAAGTCTACTCTAAATACAGGAACATTAACTTTGACTTTTTATGTTCACATAACACCACTGCACTCATACAAAACTCAGTAGTTTACAGTTTTGGTAACTTCATTCATGAAATGATGTGATAAATGCTAATCCAGTTCGGTCCCTCAAAAACTGCTACCACTAGGAAGCTTATCTTCAGTGAGATAAGGGGATATTTTCAGGGATCAATGAACCGTAGCACATCTCTTTGCTGAGATGACCTTAACAAAAGGAGAAAAAAAAAAAAAAAAAAAGGCAGCTTTACTATAATTAATTCTCAAAGTTTTAGATACTTTTATTGAAAATTCATTTTCTGGGCAACTCAAATTGCAGCAGTTCATGAATTACCTCCACTAAGAGAGCCGTTTCTAAGAAATCTTTACATAACATCCACATGTATTCCAACAGTTCTGAATAAGAACTATCTCGGAATAAAACCCTCATGTACCACATAGTCCACGAGAAACCTGAAGGTAGCATACAGTAAGACCATATCAAGTGATAAAACATAATTTTTTAGTTAGCCTAGACATACTATTTTTGAGCTGAGATTCTTTAAAGACGGCCACAACACAGTCACTGGATGCTATACTTAATCAATTTCACAAGTCAAAACCCTATGAAAACTTATTTAGTCTTTTCAAATAATTCTCATAGTTAGTAATGCTTGAGTGAGTTCTAGCTGAGGAAATATTCCAATTACATATTGCATAAGTTGGTATACTAAAAGCTAAAGTTCAGTAAAACTGGTGAAACAAGCTTAAATTTATAACTGAAGCCATTTATATGTAGTATTAATGTATAATACAAATAAAACTCTTGGTGTACCTGTTTACACTCAGGAGTTCACAGACGAATGCAGCACTTTCACAGTTACTTCAAGTCATCTTAAATAAATTCCATTTAAAAATGCTTTTACGGTAGCATTCCATGTGTCATAAACAATCCTTTATACTCAAAAATATGCACAAGTGAGAATTTTTCTTCTGCCCTCAAATGTAATGTTACAAAAAATCCAAACTGGTCACCTTGAATATTTTAAAGCAGAAGCGGAACTTTACTAAGAGGCATGTATAGCTGAAGTGTAAGCCAGCTAAAGATAAAATTACAGAATCAGGACTTTTCAAAAGAATGTTTTTGTTAAATATGTTCCAGGAAAAGGTATCTACCATGCTTAGCATAATTTGTTCATGTTTTAAAGAGAGCAATGAAGAGACAGTCAGCCCTAACTAGGTCTGGGACTGCTCTGCAGTATAGGCTAAGCAGACTCTCAAGTCTGAGCAGCTGGTTGACTGTTGTGCAAGAAGTTACCGGCTAGGAAGGATGAACAATTTTTACTTTGGTAGGTGAAGAAAACACCTTTCACTCGGTTGTAAACTATTTCCAGATTGATCAGGTTGTCTGAAGAAAGAGTAATACCCCTTCTCAGTACCTACGTACATATCTAGGCACTGAAGCCCATTTCACAAACATTTAACTACTTCGAAGCTTAGTGTTCTTTCAGCTGCTATTCACGTCATTAGACTTGCTGAATCTGAAGCTGCATTTAACACTGTTTACAAGAAACTTCAGTAACAAGAGAAAACTACAAATAAGTGTCATTATGAGGAAGTGTTTAACTGCTTCCTCCTGAAGAAAAGTGCAAATGTACTAAAGTATTTGTTCATACATTCTTGGCTTTATCTAAGGTATGTAGTGGGAAAACATCATAAAATCTGTCATATTACAACAAAAGCCATAACCACAAATAATGGGATGCATTTCCTTTCCCAGGTGAGGTTCAAAGCTCTCACATGTAAACACACCCTTGCAGTGTGGCAAAAATACCTACCCATCTGTGAAACAAAAATGCTCACTTCCACTGTCTGGTTCTCTCAATTCACCTCTATTCCAGTGAGAAAATTGACAATATGCAGTTTTGATCTATTGGCCATGCTTTTTGTAGCTCTTCTACCAATGCGAAGAGGTCCATAGCATCACTTCTTCAGTTGGCAATGGCTGCACACTTAAAGAGGAGAGCTGAATATTATGTTGCACATACCAGACAGATAAAATTGTTAGCAGAGTTGCATGTGCAGCAGAAAGACATCACTAAGTTGTTGCAACCTTCTCTAAATTTAAACAGTGCTACACTCATGTTTCATGGGTTTAGGAATAAGTAATTTTTGAAAACGGAGGCTTTGGTGAGAGTTCCACGTAGAAGATACAGTAAGAACTGAAAATCTATTTATGGAAGGTTTATATCACATTTTACCATCTGCTCTTCTAAGTACGAGTTAAAATTAGCGTACACTGCTTTTACATTCTGTTATTTAATATTTTAAGGCCGGTACCTTAATCTGGAAGCATGACTTCTACATAAAGAGTACACAGCTGGATTGACATTACACCACTCCTTCAAGAAGTTTTGGTTTTTTAAACTTCATTTGACTTCTTGAGAACTAAGATTAATCTCTAAAGGCAGATTATGTCCTCAAGCACACACAAAACACTTCCACCTCAGTATCAGTTTAGTCTGTCCATAAATAATTTAGCATGTGTACAATTAATAAAAAATCCCAACTGACCCCTCCCCCCACAACCAGAGAACAACTAGCTAAACAGTGCCACAGGCCCCTAGCCCTGCAACTGCGCTCCCCATTCTCGGTTTTCTTTGCCTAATTATGCTGCCTTCTGGTAACAAACAGAGAAACTCATAAAAAAAACGGGGGAAACATTCTGTGGTGTATTTGCATGTAATTTTCAACACCACCGTTGGAGGAATGTATTCATTAGTCACGAATAAATGGTGCTACTCTTTAATACCTAACAGCTGGCTATTCTAATAACTTGAGATGAATTTTGGAATAGTTTCCTGGGAAAGTATTTCTAAACCACTCAAAATTTTTCTGACTCAAATTAACTACTATAACCTTGTTATAATTATTAGATGAACTCCAATGCATATTTTATCAGGGAAGAATTTTAAATTGTAACGACTAACATAATTCCACCAAAAAGAATTTCAAGGCACTCTTGTAACGGGCCCATTCCATCACTTGTATAGAATTTAAAAAACACTATAACAGCACAAGTTTACTGAACCAATTATCCAATCTAGGATAAAGGCTTAAATTTTTCTCTAACCACCAAGTTAAATAAAGTCCCCTCTTCACACAGCAGACCTGGCTACAACATCCTAAATCATGCAAGCAAAACAAACCAGTAAACTACAACCACAAATTGCAGCTACTGTAAAATTAAGCCACATCCAGGACACCAGCAGCCACCAACTGCCTTGAAAGCCAGTCCAATCCTTCATAAAGTCCTGTACCACTTCGGGCATCACAACCCTGAATATACCAGCTACGGCCACAGCAGAGTTTGTGGAGACTCAGCAGTTCTGTGATTTCTTCCACTGAGAGCGCACCTGCCACATCCTGCAACAGAATCAAATACAAAGACTCAATTATACTTCTGTATCATGCTTGAAACATTTTATTTTTAACCAATGGCTTTGAAGCTACCTATTCACATAAGAGCTTTCCAAACACAAAAGCCAGATAAAAGTTACACATTTACTACTTGTTACCATAAAACAAGAACTGGTTATTGAACCTACTAAGCACTCTAGCACAAATTATTTTACCAGCATTAAACATAAGAAAAACATCTACATTTTATGCTTTCCACATTACTATTCCCTAGCCATGGCAGAGGGTTCAGAAAGTTGGAATTAGATACACAAACTGAGGAAAAACAGTAACAGAGTGAAAAAAATCACAAGTACCTGTTTATTAGCAAAGATCAAGAGCAAGGCATCCCGCAATTCCTTCTCTGTTAATAATTTTGCAAGTTCACTGTGTGCTTCACTGACTCTATCTCTGTGACTGCTATCAACAACAAACACCACCGCTATGAAAGACAGACAGAAATGTTTTACATGCATTCAAACATAAACAGTAAAATTAGCTTTCACCCTACACAATTCTTTTTTTTCTAGCAATCTTCTACATGAAGTTTCTCAACAGTGTGCAGCTTCAATTTCAAATCCAGGACAGAGAAACGCCTTACATACCTCTGTGCTTTTGACAAAAAAATAGAATTCATCCTAAAACAGAGAAAAAACACTCTGAAGTTTTTTGCCTAGTCTAACATAAAGGCTGTGATATTTTAACCACTTAGGTCTAAAACCAGATTTACTATGTGTTGATTGAGTACCTCAGTTTAAACCATTTCTTGTTCCAGCTTCCCTTGGCTGGCTGTAAAATCTACAGGTTCAGCCAAATAGGCACAGCTTCCTTCAGCTTCAGACTACACAATCCAGAGAAGATTGTCATGGACCAGGTACAGCAGCAGTAGATTTTACTATCCACTACAGAGAGTAATTATGATGCCAGAAAGACCAGAGAGTCAGGGACGAAGAGCAAGAGGACAGAACTTAAACTCATGGTTTCCACAGTGAAAAAACCTCCAACGCCAAAACTAAACAAGACTTACTGAAGGTTAACTGCTTAGATTTCTCTCCAACACTCAATTCTTCGAGACAGACATGATTCCGTGCTAATGGTGTTTACACAGTAACTTTCAAGAGGACAACAAAAATCCCAAAATATGATTTTTAAAATTTTGAAAAGATGAACAATGTAAAATGTTAAAGTTTGCAATGAAGGCTGAAATAATGCACAAAGCAGAGCACATAAACTGATGTTTGTAATTCCTAAGTATTTCAGATAATTCTGAATGAATTTATGAAGAGGAACCCCTTTCTAAATTGGAATACAACTATGGATGATTTACAGAAGGAGAGCATGAATTTCTAAGTTGGCACCATTTATATCAATGTTTTCAGAATCAGTAATCTAGTCTATGACCAGATCTGACACTGCAATTCAAAGTCAGAAGTTACAGAACTTTGTAGAATTTTTTAAAGTTGCCACCTAAAGACTCCTAAAGGGTATTTATTTTACATTTTCATTTCAAATGCTATTTAAATTTCATACCTGGCAAGTACTACTTCTCACTATGCGAACTTTGGAACGCTGCACTTTGTCTGTTGTCAGATAGAGCTAGTTTAACAGACGTTCAAATTTTGTTTGGCTCCATGAACCGTCTGATGGATTTATGGAGAATGCACCTTTATCATGTAGCAGACACTATGACGGACTGGATTAAAATTTCTTAGTTCATAAATCTAGCAGCTGTACTTTGCATTAGATGAACAATTTCTACAGCTATAAATTATTTCTACTAATAATCCTTTTGGCTCTGAAATTCAATCCAGAAGACAAAATACAGATTAAAATTTGTATTAGTCTCACCTTGTGTATTGAGATAATAATGTTTCCACAAGGGCCTCAATTTGTGCTTCCCTCCGACATCCCAAATAGTGAACTTCAAATTCTTGTATTCTACTGTTTCGACATTAAAACCTAGAATAAAAATATTAAAGTTTTATAGGCTTGTTCTGTATGGATATAAAATAATAAAATTTTGCAGATAAGTCAAACAGTCAGAAAAATCATTACATTTAAATTGTTGCTACTAACCTATTGTTGGGATTGGCTGCATGAATTCATCTTGCTTTAACTTAAACAAAATAGTTGTTTTGCCAGCTCCATCTAATCCTAGAGTGACAACACGAATTTCCATTTTTGGTCCAATATGTACCCTGTTGTCCTGGAACAAACAGCATACACAAAACAAGGGCAAGTTTAGGAAATCCAATTAGAAAATCTTTATATTTATTTATTTTGTGATTAAATGGATTAACTCAAAAAATACGAGGCACAACCACCAATCACCTCCAGCAATAATATAAACCAAATTATACAATAATCTCTGTAGTGAACCTCTAAAACCAGGGAAACTTCTGCCCAAGTTACCACATACCTTTTAGAAAGACAGCCAATCTCATGTTACTATGCCTATACTTGATAACATTTCAAATTACTTCATTAGTCTTGGCTCAAACGGCAGAGGACCTGTTTGTAGAAATTAGTTAAAATTCTGTCCAGAGAGCTCTGTTGGTTTTGTAGCTTTTCTACTATGTTTTGTCACATTATTAATGCCCTCACCTACAGAACTATTTCCTTGCTGGAGGCTCCATAGCTATGCCTTTTCACCTCAAGCCACCTCCAATCCTTTACCACATTACAACAGCAACATTACTAGCATTTAACAGCAATCTGAAATAGTGAAGTGAAGAAAAACAAACAAAACAACCCCTGGAGTCTTGCCTGGAGACAAGGAAAGAGCATCAACTTCCTATTTGTAGTTTAGACCAAGGTACCATGAGTACTGAACAAGCTGAAGGTAACAATGGGATCAAGTGGTATTACTAATATAAAGCAGCAAACCGTAAATTATAAAATAAACAACATAGGCTAAGATTACTAGGTATCCCTGAAACATACTTTGAAGCACTTAGAAATGCTGCCTTGATGAAATATTAGTTTCAGTCATCAGACCTATGTGGCAATACATTTGTTTTCTTTCAAAGTCCAGAGCAAGTAATACACAAAAACCTGTGTCTACCCCACACACCCCTTTTTTTTTTCTTCTTGCATTAGAAATGCTATTTATTGATTACAAAAATACTACAACCTTTGCTAGTACAAGATCAATATGCACCCGTGTGACCAGATGTATAAACATCTACATGACATACCTTGAGTTATATAGATAGACATATATAGATACAGATATATACACACAGAGCATCCATTATATAGCTGGATATATGTCATCATGACACGCAACTCCATTCTCCCCTGTCACGGATGAAGTAGTGTACTGTCAGAATAATCAATACAGATAAATTCAGTGACTTCATGCTATTGCAATCTCCAAAGAGAGTAAAAACACCTTGAGCAACTGCTTTTTAAAAATCAAAATAATGCAAATACCACAATGCAAAAGTCAGAAACGTTACGACTGTAGGACTGAGATCAAAGATCCATCTAATCTAATCTAGCTTGTTGTCTGAAACTAGGAAAAGATAGATATATGTGAAAATAAGGAACAAGAAAAGCACACAGTGGTAACTCCCCTAAACAGCCTCCCTGTGTCTAACAGCTTGCAGCTCATGGACTTACTGAGCTAACAGAGCAGTTTTTGCAGCTAACAGATCTTGATGTATTATTCATCTATGAATCTGTCTGTTTGCTTCTTGAAACCACAAACATTTAGGGCCCAGAAGATCCTTGGTGTAGGACTCCACAGGCTAACTATTTGTTGTGGAAAAAAAAGACCTTATTTGAAATTGTGAAATAAACTTGTACAAGCGGAGCAGTTTCAGTGCTACAGCTTTGATACTACACAAGGCAGATGCTCCAAAATCAAAAGACTAACTGAATATTTGAGATTTGAAAAACAAAACATTGAGATTTACTTGTTTTTTAATAAATTTCCTCTAAATTCTAGATATTTGGATTCAGAGCTGAAGCTGCCAAATTCAGTGACAACACTGCAACTCGACGTGTCATCAGAAGGGTTATCTCCTTCTGGAGAAGAAAAACCTGTGGGTAAATTCTTGACAAGCATGTCAGCAGGAAAGGTGCAGGTGAGGAGAAAGCACACGAAGAAGTATGCAAAAGACACTGAAGAGTCTAAAAAATGCCATGCCTCCAGAACTCTTTTCACACTCAAGTCTCAGTTCTGATTTTGTCTAAAATTTCTGGGGATGAGTCTCCCCAGTTCTTCTCTGTACCTGAAAGAAAGGAAAAGAGGCAGCTCTGGATAGAGCTGCTAAGTTGATAGGTTTTTTGCTGGAGGCAGCTCTCTGCCTATGGCCAGAGCTCACTGACAGCAAGCCAGCCTGGCCATCCTGTCAGGGCTCCACCAGAAGCATCAGTGACCTCTACAGCTCCCGTGGCTGGAGGGCAGAGGCAGTGTTGGCCTGTGCAAATAGAAGCATCAGTGAAGTGGAGGAGATGAATGATTCTGTCAAATTTAGCCATCCTGTTGCAGCTGGCTTTCTATAAGGATAGAGTGAAAACAGGTTGTTCTCAGTATCTTCGTACTCTCTCAGAAGGAATCAAAATGCAATCTGTGATGGACACCAAACTTACACTTTTTGTATGAGTAGTTATGTCACTTCAGGAAGAACCTTGCAAGAAAAGTTTCTACTCAGCAAACATGTATAGCACCTGTAATACAAGTCAGGAATAACTGACTATTGATGATCACAGCTAGAAATTGACATGAAGAAATTTCTCTGCATCAGCTATATCAGCATTTTCAATCAAAAGTGTTATCTAAAAAAGTCTGGCCAGTAAAACCTCTCTGTGTCTGCATTTCTGGCAGGCACATAACTTGATAGCAAACTTAAAAACAGGTAACCTGTGATTTCTGTTCAAGCAAAACTTGATGTTTTCTTAAATCTCAGCACAGAAAACGCAGAAGAAAAACCCACACAACTGTAGTCTCTTGGTTTTTGTCCCTGTCCTTCGTCTTTGTTAAGAAATTTGTTGTCATGACAAAAGTTGTATATAGGTTTACTTAAAGATAGTGTTAAGTGCTTTCCCTCTGATAGATTACTGTCTTCTTGGGTATTCTTGGTGTTGGTAAGCATTAGCAGTTTTCTATACTTGGTTCAACATTGACAGGTTAAGTGCTCTTTACTATCTCAGGTAAGGGTATCTTAATCATTTTCCCTCTCCCTATTATGTACACACAAATATTTATGATGACAAATTGCTATTCCTGTATATACCACTCCACAGCCACTGCTCTCATTTGACCAGGACAAAACAGCAATCTCACTCTTCAAATAAGGATCACAATCCCAGATGAGGAGCAATTTCCTTGACAACAAGCTAAGTACATGAAGACATTTCAACCTTATTTGGTCAAAGTTCTCATAATTACATAGGTAAAGAAGGATCCACTGGAAACAGTATATTAAAAACATCTGGGAAAAAATTATTATATACGAACATATTTCTTGAAAGATTTTCAGCATCTTGCCCTGGAATTCTCCAAATCCTCCCTTCAGAGCTTCACATGTGGCATTTCCCTTGATGATTTAAGATGAGGAAACTGCGCTATCCATGGTTTTTGTGTCATCAGTGAAACAATAAATGTGGATAAAACCTACTTACTTTAAATAGTGAAAAGGACTTTTCTCTCTCCTCCTTAAATCTCCACAGTCTTCACTGGATATGGAATGTTCATCTGATCTGGTACTGTTTGAAATGTTTTTTTTTAATTTTGTAATGGATGCAGCCTTCAGTGCATGAGAGCTCCTGAGAAAGACTTCTTCAATGATATAATAACAGTTTACAGTTTTTCATCCGAAGATCTTATTTCTGTCTGAAATCTATTGCCAGGCACAGACCTTTCAGGTACCACAAGCCTCACTACAAGTCACAACAGTGGCCACCAGCATGACAGTATTCTAAAAAAACGTTGTGTACAAAGAGAGATTTAAAATTTGTTTGAAGTGAGGAAACATAAAAAGTAAGAGACTGAAGTAATTATTTCCACCTTACTTTTTAATGACTACCGCTTTTTTTTTGAAAAATTATATTTGCTTTGGCACCTTTGAAATTCAGAATCTAAGCTTCAGAAGATTTCATAAAAACACCAGTTTGTCACAGGAGAAAAACAATAGAAGCCCCATTTCCTTCTGAATAAAGCTGAGGTGTGGGGAGCCACTAGAGGACTCCTGGATAAACCAAGTCCTATTTCAGATCTCCTATTACAATTTATCTGGCTGCAACCATTCTCTTTCCAAATGCTCAGAAATTCACAATCAAAATTTTCTGAATCAGATTAACAGCTCCTTAAGGCAAAACCAAACATCCAAAATGCCTCTCTGACTCAGTCCAATGAGATGGCAGTGCCAATTAACCCTGAATACACAGAATGCAATTCATCATCTGTGCAAGATGAATGCTGATTCATTCATGGAACAATGGGGGTTTGTAGAAGAGGTCTCCCTGACCGAACTAACTCTGGTCTCTGCTGAATAGGGAAGGGAGCAGCAGAAATGAAAATGCTGCATTTATTGATCTGACAAGTCAGTTACTACAAAGAAATTCAAATTTACTGAAGTTACAAAACAAATTATTTGGAATAAATTTATTTTCTGACATCAACAAGGACTGGGACAGAATCCCCATGGAAGCATCCATTTCCTTATAGTAAAAGCTTCAACAGCAACAGTTAAATCCTCAGTTTGACCTCAGCAACAACAGATCTTATTTCACTTTCAACCATTCAGGACCAAAAAAACCCCATAAATCAAAGCACCAGTTCTTTAGAGTTTCAAACTTATTTACTCTCCTGAAGACGGAAGTCATACAGAAAATTACAAATTGCCAGTAGCGGCAAGATTTGTCTACAGGACTGCTTAATCTAGTAATATTTTGTTCGTAGTTCTGCTTAGGAATCTGCCTAACAAAGGAATATGGTACACCTTATCTACGACTAACAGGCTTGAGGCTTGAGCCTGCCTACTTACGTGATTTAGCTACACACCTGTCTAGGAAAAACAAGATAATGGCAGAAGGACACTGGAGCCTGCAGAACTACCAGATCCAGCTGGTTTTGTAAGGGAAATGGGAAGACAGTACCAAGTTCACAGAAAGGACACTGTGATGAAAATAAGGCTAATGAAGTAAACGACCAACGGGGGTCCCAGAAGACCACCTAGAGACTGTAGCATGCATACGGAAGTAGGCGGCAACATAGTATAACGATTTCTTAGAAAAGTAACCAATATTGTGATTAATTCTTAGAATCGAGTTCTCGGCTTCATTTCTAACATGAAAAGTATCACCATTATCAAACTCCAAATAATTTCATCCCGTTCAAAGAATGTGTTGTTGAAATTATATTAAAGGAATAATAAAAAAAAAACCAACTACTTAGAAGATGAACTGTGTCTAAACTATCAGTGAATACAAAGCAACTATAAGACAAATTTTCATTTAATGAATTGAAAGAAATACATTATTTTTAATATTATAAACTGAAAGTTATAATAGCATTATTGCGTTTAAAAATAGGTGTGGAATTTTCAGAAAATAAAATAATGAACATTCTGCAGAAGTTATGCAGTGTTCATGAAGAAGCCAAAAATATGTTGAAAAACAAAGGGTAGATTCCTGGTCTGAGATGAATGTACAACAAATTGGTAATGTTTCCAAAGAAAGGTGTTTCTAGAATTCACAAGTACTATCTTACATATTTAAACGAAAACAGCTAATGTTCAAACAAAGGTACTGATGTAGACAATGTCAAAAGAATGTTTCTCACACTAATTGTAACAGCACAGTGAGTTTGTTGCTCAAATACCAGATGGCTCTCACCATATGGTAAGACACAGTGGCTAAGACTGATACTGAACTGCTTAAATTTGCTGCAACAAATACAGCATCGTAGTGAACATATATTACTCCTGTTTTCTTTTAAATTACATTTGGGATAGTTGTACTTTAATGGGATTAAGAATACCTTTGTAAAGGTGACAGGTATGCTAGCATCCAGCTGTACATGATCCGCAAGTTCTGTAAACTGCTGTTGCTGTTTCTGTAAAGTCTCTAGCAATCTTGTAATTTCCTGTCTGGCCAACACTACTCTGCAGTCATCCTAAACAGACAAAGAAAACAAAAGCATGCCTTTCCTTTAGTAATTTATTTAAAATAACAAAGCACAATGTAAATACGATGGCTGGAAATCAATCATTTTAAATAGAAATACTGTAGTTAAAGAAACTCATATTTACAAAATAGATTTATTTAAAATTGCAGCACAAATATGAAGGTCTTGTCATCCCTCCTTAAGACTAATGGGTACTAAATAGTTTTGCAGTTTTAAAAAACTTTTTCTTTGACCTCTCTTAGTACTGTAGGAATAAGACTATAAGTGATAAGAGACAGTAATGTAATATATAAATAATATTTATATCAGTCATATATCAGTTCAGCAGCTAGAATAGAGCAGTGGCTTTGAAGCACACAGCAACATGTAACACAAAAAAATTAATACCCACCCATTAATGATGGGAACATCTGCATTGTTAAAAGTACTTCTGACTAAGCAACCAGACACTGGTTCAAAACAAATTTAAAAAAAAAAGTACAAGTAACACATTAATGAAGTAATTTCTCACACTCAGTTTACTGTTCGCTACATATATGATTTGCCTCTTGCTATCACTAAATTAAGCGAACAGTGGACCAGATACTCTCATATGTGCACTTTCTTCACACATCTAATATCTTGAAGTACCCATATTACAAGTGCTACCAAAAGTTATTTAGTTCTGAAACATTTTTTCCTGACAACCTTATTTGACAACTATCTTCAAACACTTATACTGGAAATTGCAACTGTAAAATCCTTCTCATAAATCCTGCAGGTTTTTTGGTTCAGTTTCATCTCTACTTCCCACTAACCTCACAAATAACCAGAAATTACTCCAGAGAAGAAAATCATGTCACAGGATTTCCAGCAACTGAAGGTCTTGATGCTTTTGTCCTCATTATCCTTGTCTAACACCCCCTTGTAATCAATATTTCAATCTCATATCATTATTATTTTAACACTGTAAAGGAAATAAAAATGCAGAGTACCATCTAACTTTTTCGTTTGTAGCCTAAACTGGATCTGCACTTCCACATACCTTGCCATATCTAACAGCTCACTTGTCAACCTACCTGTTGTAAAGTCTTTTCGCAATGAAGGCAAGCTGTTGAAACCTGTGACAAGAGGATGGTCATGTCTTCTTGCTGCTGCCTAAGCCAAATCAACTTCTCTCTCACGTGAGCATCAACAACACTAAGAGCCATTTCCTCCTGACGACAAAGTGTTTCATGAAGATCAGAAAAATAGGCCCGGACACATGAGCGAGCACTCTCTGCAGTCCCGGGTACCTACAGTGTTGCAGTCAGGAGATCCAGATGATTAAAGACACCAGTTGATTCCAGAAACACATTTTTCATTTTATTCCAGTTTTTAACTTATCTTCACATCTGCTTGGCTACATCACAGTTCAAATCCCAGTTGTACAGAAAGTCTTACTAACCCTAAGACCAAAACCTTCCAAGAAGTTATTCCAATAATCAAGTAGTTTACTTGTAGGTATACACACCTTACTAAAAACAACCAGGGAAAAAAAGTCTCAAGAGTATCACAGCACCTGAAAACAGATCCAATCTGTCACAGTACTTCAATACTATACTAGCAGTTATACAGCTTTCCCTACTGCCTCCCTATTTTCATGTAGCCTAAAAACATTGCAACGGACTAAAAGTTCCCCTCTATCTGCTGGTTTAAGCCTCAATACCAGCTTGGTAGAGATAAGAACTAAATGTCTTGTCTATAAAACCTATGTATAATTTTCAGAGAAATGCCTTATCTCGGTTACTACAAAAAGCAAATATTCTGTGAAAAAAAAAAAAAAAAGGCATACATGTTCAGTATGGGCCATTCCAACTCCATCTTCAACTATTTGCTCTCCTCCTTCTATATGTTGAACAATTCCAACTAATTTTCTGGAATAATCTGAGATTTCTTCTGTGAAAGTTCTTATACAGTGAGCCATGTCTAAAATGGATGCACGAATCTGGTTTGCTTCTGGTTCCAAGACAGAATGCTATTAATTAAAAGCAACATATCAAAAATCAATCATAAATATCTTCCTTAATAATATTTTATATTTTACTACATATTCAATATCTGCATGTGTGTGTACATATACAGGAAAGACAAGTAAGAATTTAAAACCATCTTGCAATTTAAAATGCAATCAGGAGTTACAGATTATGCTGAGACATAGATAGGCATCAAGTAATTATGCAAATAAACATACAAATTTGCCTGTTTACAATAATGAATTATAAAAAAAGAAGGGTGGTTAGACTGCACCAGGTTTGGTGAGCCTAGTGTTTACATGATGAAAACCACTTTCAGAACTGGTGACTCAATGCTTCAAGAAGTTTAGAAAAGCAACAGATAAAGGGACTGTCCATCTTAATATATAAGTAACTTATTGTGTTCTTAGAAATAATGTTTTCTTTTCGTTGCAATTTTACCATGGCAGTTACCTGAAATGAATGGAAAATGAAAGAACAGCATGAAGTTACTTCTATAAGGACATCAAGAATCTACCCTTATTTCTTGATAATCTTTTGTATCTTAATTGGATAAATAGTTATGCAAGCCACCCCATGGTGTGACTAGAAACAGATTATTAGCAGTACCTTATGACCTTGATGCTTCCCATACTCTTTGCAGACACAACACATAAGAGGACTGGCCTGACAGCCCTCTTCTAAACAAACAAACTCAATAGCATGCACTTGGTGCTGGGAGCACATTGTCTTCTCATGAGGCTTATCAGCGAGAGGTACACGCCTGTGCTTCGCTAGTGTCTTTGTTGAATGAGTAAGCTGGGAACAGTCTGCACACAGGTGAGTGGCACAAACAGTGCAATATACAGATGCAACGTGGGCTTCATCTTCATCACAACGAATGCTACTCTAACAAAAAAAAAAAAAAAAGACAAAACTGAAGCTGTTAACATCTAATCTCAATAACTGAGAAAAATCAGAAGACCTGACACCAATATAAGCCTGAAAACAGACTTTCTTAAAAAGTTACACATTAATAAATATTTGGACTATGTTGAAAACTTGATTTTATGTTCTCAATACATTTTTAAAAAACCAAGGTCAAGTCAACACCAACAAATTATCCTAGAGGTGTTCAGTGATTTTATAAATCCAAACTTCATTGGAAGCTGTAAAGGTTTGGAGGATAAAATAAATCAGGCTCCAGTAATTTCATCCAAAGCAGTCATTATAGAACACAGAATTACAAAGTTACAGACAGACAAAATACCAATGGATAAATAGACACTTAGGACAGTTATCTATTCCTAGAGTGGCACTGCATGATGCTGAGTACCAGCTGTTAATACTGAATTGATTAAAGCAGCTAGTTTTGACAATAAAGTACTATCATATGATGTAGTAATAGCAAATGACTATAACAGGCAACTACACGAGAAGAGTTGAAATCTTTAGAGAAAGTTTCTAAGAAGTTTTAGAAAATTGTCCTGAAATCACTATAACTAAAATATCCAAATAGGCAACCTTTTCTAAAAATCTTAAAAGCTTAATAAAGGGAAAAAGAGTATGCATGCTTGGCAATACCTTTTTATTTTCTGCTTTAGTTAGTACAGATCAGCAGTTGACTGTGAAGCAATTAATTGAAGCCTTAATACCAGATATTGAAAGAAAGCAATAGCATCATTAGTGAAATTACATTTGGCAAAGAACTGACTTGAATTTTCTTTTCTATCTAGAGATAACTTTAAGAAAATGTAACAAACTTTTTGCTTTTTTAAAAACTCAGTACCTCTCCAGATAGACCAATGGCTTCTTCTGCTGTCCCACACTGCCCAGCAGGCCCATTCTGCAACCGTTCCAAGAGTTCCAACAAAGCAAAATTCTTTTTCAAGCCCCAGACACCAGAATCTCCTATTTTTGAGGAAGAGTTAAATGAAGGGGAGGAGGAGAGAAATAAAAATCTCAAGCAAATACCATCATGAGAAGTTCCACAAACCACAGTTGCGATTCTGACAAATATTAAGAGCACATTAACTACAGTGATATTAACTAGAGTGAGATACAACTACCACTTTTTCTATATAAGATCACACTACTTTTCCATCCTCTTCTTTCCTTCCATCATGGAACTATTTAATATTTATACAGATCTTTCCTACCTAAAAGATGCCAAATATTATTAAAAATTTACAGGAACTCAGTAAAAACACTTGTAAAATAATCCGCAATGGCTAACAACTAAGGACTACAAGAAACACACAACCTCTTATGTGTATCATAAAAATTAATATTTTACATAATTATGTACAGTGAACATTTCTACTGTACTAACATAAGCTGTGAAGATTTCACACTGACAAACCTCATATTCCCTGACTCAGAAAATGCAACACCTATTGTAGATCTCAGTCCAGTAAAAACCCTCAATAAGTGTTAAAACAATATTCATAAAGAAAGACCCACATACACTATTTGATACAGCAAAAAAGAAGATCTCTCATACTCCCTAGAGAAAAGGAGAAGTCCATGTCTACTCCTGTATCATCCTCATTTTGTAGAGGTTAACAGGAAGCAATGTGATGAGAAGCAAAACCAGAACTGTATCCCAATGACTGCTGCTAAACACTACTGGCATAGGCCATGAAGCATATGAGAATGCTAGTGATTGCTTCTCCAAAAAAGTATCACCTCTTGACTTTTTCCAGCATCATCATCATAAAGACTCTTTCTCTGCTTCAAGGCAAAGGTGCCCCAATAGATGAAGCATCATATTTAAGCACTGGATCATTACATTTTAGTCACTACAGAATCACAGAATGACTGAGGTTGGAAGAGACCTCTGGATATCACTTTGCTGAGTTCCCCTGCTCAAGCAGGTTGGCAGCTGGTTTCCCAGGACCATGCTCAGGCAGCTTTTGAAGATCTCCAAGGAGGGCAATACCACCACCTCTCTGGGCAAGCTGTGCCAGAGCTTGGTTATCCTCACAGTCAAAACTGTTTCCTTATGTGCGGACAGAACTTTCTGTGTTTCAGTTTGTACACACTGCTTCTAGGTCTGTCAACTAGACACACTGAAAAAAAAGCCTGGCTATGTGTTCTTTGCACCCTCCCTTCAGATATCTGTAAAGTATCTCTCAGCCTTTCCTCCTACGAGAAATGCTCCAGTTCCATTATCTTACTGGGCTTTTGCTTCAATAGCTCCACATCTCTCCTGTACTGGGGAGGCCAAATCTGTACACGGTGCTCCCAGTGTGGCCTCACCAGTACTGAGGACAGGTGAGGGATCACCACCCCAGACGTGCTGGCAAAAATCCTCATTAGCCCTGGACACCATTATCCTCCTTTCCCTCAACAGCACACCAGATAAACCAGGGTCCCCAGGTCCTTTTTTGCAAAGCCACCCTCCAGCTGGTTGTCTCATTCTCTTCTCTCATTCTCTTCCCAAATGAGAGAATTAAAATCATAGAATATCTCAAGTTGGAAGGGACCCATAAAGATCATCAAGTCCAACTCGCTCCTCCTCCTCACAGGACTACCTAAAATTAAACCATATGACTAAAAGTGTCGTCCAGATGCTCCTTGAACTCTGACAGGCTTGGTGCTGTGACCACTTCCCTGGGGAGCCTGTTCCAGTGACTGACTACTCTCCCAGTGAAGAATCTTTTCCTAATGTCCACCCTGAACTTCCCCTGATGCAGCTTCATCCCATCTCCTCGTGTCCTATTCTTGGTGACCAGAGGAGATCTGCACCTCACCCTCTGCTGTCCAACTTGAGGAAGCCGTAGGCTCTGGTGAGGTCACCCCTTGGCCTTCTCTTCTCCAAGCTGAACAAACCAAGCGATCTCAGCTGCTGCTCCTAAGTCTTGCCTTCAAGACCTTTCACCACCTTGGTTGCCTTCCTCTTGAACACACTCTGCCAGTTCGATGTCCTCCTTACACTGAGGCACCCCAAGCTGCACACAGTACTCACGGTCGGGCCGCAGCACTGCCGTGCAGGCTGGGACAATCACCTCCTTCGACCGGCTGTGCTGTGCTGTGCTCGATGCACCCCAGGACACTGTTGGACCTTTTGGCTGCCAGGGCACACTGCTGACTCATATTGAACTTGCCATGAACCCAAACCCCCAGATCTCCCTCTGTGGGGCTGCTCTCCAGCCTCTCATTCCCCAATTTGTACAAATAACCAGGAGTATGCCATAATTAAGTGTCTCTGCCTTCTCTACATCCCTATTTGTGAGGTGACTGACCTCATCAAACAATGGACCATTGTTATCTTTGATATCCCTTTTGCTATTAACATATCATGGTTTGAACACGGCAGCCAAACACCACACAGCCACTCACTCACACTCCCACCATCTGGGGCATGGGGGAGGGAATTAGAGGGGTAAAGGGACACTCGTAGGTTGAGATAAAAACTGTTTAACAACTGTAATAAAATAAAACAATAACAGAAAGTACAAGTTGGTGAGCAATCACATTGTGCATTACCACCTGCCAACTGATACCCATCTTGTTCCCAGCCAGCAATCCTAAAGAAAATCAAGATTCTGAAACTGCAATCCTGGAAGTGAGAGAGAATCCCCTCCTTCCTGGTTGACTGCCCTTTATATACTGAGCAGGTCATTAGAGGATATAGAATATTTCATTGCCCAATTTGGGTCTGGTGCTCTGGTTACACTCCCCTCCAGTTGGAGACTTGGGGAGTCCCTGATCTCTCCGCAACAACTGAAAACATCAGTGTATTTTCAGCATCCTTGCTATACCAAATCTCATACTAAAATCAAAAGCACAGCACTGTTCTAGCTACTAAGAAGAAAAGTTAACTCTGTTCCAGCCAAAACCAGGACAGTATCCACCCCTAACTGCCGTACCATTTACATTGTACTCAGGTTCCATGTTTCCCAATACATTCTAATTAATCACCATCCCTTTCCCCGGTCTTAGATGTATACATACAGGTATCATTCCTGTAGGCTATGGGCCATCCCTACAGAATGTACAGTGAGTTCATTTAGTCTGTAACTTCTCAGGTTCCATCTGTCATGACAGCCTTTTAAGGCAGGAGGGGTGAGGCGGGGTTGGCTCAGTCACTGGAGTGTGGGTGACCTTGGACATGGAGGAGGATGGCGTGCGGTCCCTGCTGCAGTTGGAGCTGGTAGCTGATAGATCTGGCATGGTCCATGCTCACAGTGTGCAGGCTGAAGATGTCTATCTCAAGGAATTTGCTGGGCACCAATTGCTGAAATTACTCCTGACTCTATCAAAGTTCTCTTTCACTTTTTTTTTTTTTTTATTAATGTGATGCCATTAGTATAATACATATCAACCACAGCGATGATGAGATGCAATAACAGACTCACTTGGCAATTAACATCATACCATTCAATTCATCAGCTGTTTTTACCTAAAATCAAATCCCCTTGAGGCACACATCAGAATTCCCCATCCTCATGCATTACTCACCAAGTGCACCCAGGTCCTTGGGCAAAAGTAATCCCACTCATACGTTTACCTTTACCTGAGGCAGGAATAACCCTGACTGTCCTCCCCAAGCATGTGCACTAATGTGCACTACAGGGACTTTATCCCCACCTACAGAACGTAGAAGTTTTCACTAGGCAGGGCCAGCCTGGCTGGCAGGTCCTCTAGTATTGACTAACCAGGTGACTTTTGCTAAATGCATATCACAGTATTTGAAAGTTCCACCACCTATCGCTCTCAGTATAGTTTTTACCAATCCATTACACCGCTCAGTTTTGCCAGAGGCTGGTACATAAGGGATGTGATATATCCACTCAGTGCCATGTTCTTTGGCCCAGCTGCCTATGAGATTCTTTTGAAAATGAGTCCCATTATCTGACTCAGTTCTTCCTGGGGTGCCACGCAGCCACAGGACTTGCTTTTCAAGGTACAGAATAGCATTCTGGGCAGCAGTATGGGACGTGGCCTATGTTTCCAACCATCTGGTGGTTGCTTCCACCACTGTGAGTGCAGAGCATCTGCCATCCTAGGTTTGTGGAAGTGTGATATAATCAATCTGCCAGCACTCCTCGTATCTGTATTTTAACCATCACCCTCCATACCAAAGAGCCTTTAACCGCTTGTCTTGCTTGATCACAGCACGTTTCTCACCCATGGATAACCTGTGCAGTAGTGTCCATGGTTAAGTCCACCCCTCAATCATGAGCCCATCTATACATTGCATCTTTTTCCTGATGGCTCGAGGAGTCATGGGCCCAGTGAGCCATGAGTTTTTCACCCCAAGTTGCCAGCCCAGATCCACTTGAGCCACATTCATCTTAACAGCTTGATCTACCTGTTGGTTGTTTTGATGTTCTTCAGTGGCCTGGTGCTTGGGTACATGAGCATCATCTATGTGACATACTTTCACAACCAGGTTCTCTAGCTGAGTAGCAGTATCTCGCCCTAATTCAGCAGCCCAGATGGGTTTGACTCTGTGCTGCCAAATGTTTTGTTTCCATTGCTGTAACCACTCCCACTGGGCATGTGCCACCAACCATGAGTTGGTGTAGAGACAGAACACTGGCCACCTTTCTTGCTTAGCACTATCTAAGGCCAGCTGGGTGGCTTTCACCTTTGCAAACCGACTTTATACACTTTCTCCTTCAGCAGCTTCTGCGACCTATCATGTGAGGCTCCACGCAGTGGCCTTCCACCTTCAATGCTTTCCTACAATGCGACAGGACCTGTCAGTAAACAGGGCATGTTGCTTCTCATTATCTGGTAGTTCATTATACAGTGGGGGTTCTTCAGCATGCATCACCTCTTCCTCTGGTGACATTCTGAAATCTTTGCCTTCTGGCCAATTTGTGATCACTTCCAATACTCCTGGGTGGCTGGGGCTCCCTATCTGAGCCCGCTGTGTGATCAGTGCAACCCATTTACTC